TCCGGTATGGATAAACATTACTCTCAGTAGAAGATTAACCATATCTGGTATAGTAGCAGCTTCATTTCTTCTATAAATAGAAGAGATTTCAGTTCATTATGTACATCAGTTTGAATTCGAATAATATATCAGTTTCTCTCTATACTTGATTTTTTACAGTCTTTATTTTATAACACGTTATCAGCACGAGACTCTACCATCTCGAGCATATATTTCGAAAGTATCTGAGGTAAGAACTTTCTTTTCCTAAATAATGTCAAATCTTTCTAAACTTGAATTTGTTGCCCTGGATATATCGGGCAAAAGCTACATGTCTTGGGTGCTTGATGTTGAAATTCATCTTGATGCGATGGGTGTGGTAGACACCATCAAAGACAAAAATCAGGCATCAAACCAAGACCGTGCCAAAGCAATGATATTCCTACGCCATCACCTTGATGAGGGCCTGAAAATGGAATATCTTACTGTTAAAGATCCAGTCATACTGTGGAATAGTTTAAAAGATAGATATGACCACCTGAAAATGGTCGTTCTTCCACAGGCACGATATGATTAGACTCATCTAAGGCTACAAGATTTTAAATCTATAAGTGAGTATAATTCTGCTATGTTCAGAATTATTTCCTAATTGAAATTATGTGGTGATAATATTACTGATCATGATATGTTGGAACTCCAGAAGAGCTCCAAAAGGCAATTGAATATCTTAAGAAAGAATTTGAGATGAAAGATCTTGGAAAGACAAAACTTTGTCTTGGTCTGCAAATTGAACATTTAGCAGACGGGATCTTTATCCATCAATCTGCCTATACAGAAAGGGTCTTAAAACGCTTTTACATGGACAAAGCGCACCCATTGAGTACACCAATGGTTGTTCGATCACTTGAAGTGAATAAGGATTTGTTCCGACCTCCAGAAGAGGACGAGGAACTCCTTGGTCCCGAAGTACCCTATCTCAGTGCAATTGGTGCACTAATGTATCTTGCTAATGCTACAAGGCCTGACATAACATTTTCTGTTAATTTACTAGCAAGATATAGTTCTTCTCCTACACGGAGACATTGGAACGGGATTAAGCATATATTGCGATGTTTAAAGGGAACTCTTAATATGGGTTTGTTTTATGCTAACAAAGATAATGCAGATTTTGTTGGTTATGCAGATGCAGGTTATTTATCTGATCCCCATAAAGCTCGATCTCAAACCGGGTACGTATTTACATATGGAGGTACTGTCATATCATGGCGCTCCACAAAGCAATCTATTGTTGCTACTTCTTCAAATCACGTGGAGATAATAGCTATTCATGAAGCAAGCAGGGAATGCGTATGGTTGAGATCAATAATTCATTTTATTAGAGAAAAATGTGGTTTGGAATGTGAGAAAAGATACACAATTTTATACGAAGACAATGCTGCATGCATAGCCCAATTGAAGGGAGGATTTATAAAAGGAGATAGAACGAAGCACATTTCACCAAAATTATTCTACACACACGACCTTTAGAAAAATGGTGACATTGATGTGCAACAAATCCGTTCAAGTGATAATCCAGCAGATTTATTCACTAAATCTTTACCAACTTCAACTTTTGAGAAGATGGTATACAAGATTGGAATGCGGAGACTCAAATATTTGAAACAAGGTTTTCATCAGGGGGAGTAAAATACGCGAATTTTTCCTTACTAAGGTTTTTCCCATGGGGTTTTCCTTATAAGGTTTTTAATGAGACACCTAGCAATGCGTATTACTAAATATGTGTACTCTTTTTCCTTCACTAGGATTTTCTCCCACGTGGTTTTTCCTAGTAAGGTTTTAATGAGGCACATTATCTTTTAATGAATATCCAAGTGGGAGTGTTATAAATATATTATATTATGGATGTTCATTTAATACTCCGTTGTAAATAAGCTTCCTAAAGAAGCTTATCCATATGGGACTCCGCCGTAAATATGTTTATCTATTTAGTACTCTATTGGAAATAAGCCTCCTGAAGAAGCTTATCACTTCAGTACCCGATTATGGATAAACATTACTCCCGATAGAAGATTATCCATACCGGGTATAGTAATCTTATCCTTTCAGTACCCGGTTATGGATAAACATTAACTCCGGTAGAAGATTATCCATACCAGGTATAATTAGCTTATCCTTTCGATACTCCGTTATGGATAAATATTATCCCGGGTAGAAGATTATCCATACCAGGTACAATGAGCTTATCCTTTCAGTACTCCGTTATGGATAAAATTACCTCCAGTAGAAGATTATCTATACCTGGTACAATGAGTTTATCCTTTCAGTACTCCGTTATGGATAAACATTACTCGCAGTAGAAGATTAACCATATCTGGTATAGTAGCAGCTTACACAGCAGCTTCCTTTCTTCTATAAATAGAAGAGATTTTAGTTCATTATGTACATCAGTTTGAATTCGAATAATATATCAGTTTCTCTCTATACTTGTCTTTACTTTACAGTCTTTATTCTATAACACAAATGGATTTTTGTCATTTTCTTCCTCAAAAAATTCCCATTAAGGGTAGTAGAAAAGTATTAAGTAGGTGGTTAGAGTTAGTTAGTTAGTTAGCCAGCTGTCCAATTATGTAGTGACAACTGTAAGTTAAGGAAGTTGTAGTCGATTAGATGTGTATGTAACATAGTATGTACTCCTCTTGTTATTCATTCGAAACTCAATGGAACAGTAGAATTCCATTTTCCCTCTTCCTTCTTCCTCGAGCTTCTCTGCGACTATGGTGGTCTCAATCTTTTAACATTGTATCAAAGCCGACGTAATCGATTCAAGCTCCGTCGTTCTCATAGTTATCAAGCTAATCGAACCACTTTTTAGTTGATACAACTCAATTCTTCTTTCATTTCTGCTCGTTATCAATTCATTCGAGTTAGGATTTGAATTGTCTTAGAACAGTAGAATCTCTGTTTCTAGTGAATCAATTCACCAAGCTTGATTCGATCATCAATGGCGATTGAGGAAAACAGCTCACCTAGGGGTTCAGACACAGCTGATTTGAACACTGGACATCCAGAGGGATTCACAGCTTCTGTAGTCATCGATCAACAATAATCTGTGGAAAAGGAACTCCTCAAGTTTCAACTAGCTATAAGCCTAAGAAGAATAATCTATTTTGTGACTATTGCAATTACAAGGGTCACACAAGGGATACGTGCTACAAGCTTCATGGCTAACCTGCAGGCTTCAAGCCAAAAAGGAAGATTGGACGTAACGATGCTTCTCAACACACAATGGCTCAGACAAGTACTGGTTCTAGTAATGGAAGCTTTGAGGCTGTAGCTAATTGTGTAGGACATTCTCAGCAGAGTAGCCTTACTTTAAGAAAGTGGCCGTGAGGTTACAAAGGTCGTGACTGAGTCTTGGTTGATTAGTTTGCCTGGAATCTCGTTGAGGTCAGGAAGCGCAGGAGCAGGACCCGCGCAAAAGGCTACTGAAGGGGCGAATGCTGGAAAAGCAAAAGCAACCCAGAAAGGTATTTTCTCAAAAATCTGACTTACGCTTTTTGAACAATAAATCCAGATCGGATCCCGGACACGCGAGAGCCCAGCCCGGGAGGAATGCATGGTTCCCTGGCGCTTCATGGGACGGAAGTTCGCAGTCCTCCTCCATCTAATCTAACCCTACCTCGTTCGCCCAGGCCTGCCGGCACAATAAGAGAATGAGGGAGCTAATCTGCTTGCTTGTTACTTCAACTAGTCAGGGTGGCCAAGGAGTAATTGTAGGAGTACCTCAGTTTATAGTTGATCAGTACAATCAGATTTTGTATTTGTTAGGCAAGTATAGTATCACCTCTACAAGCCAAGGTGATCAACAAAATAATGTTATATCTGCAGGTATGATCTCACCCTCTATAGTTACTGAAGTTGAGGTTAGGTGGATAGTTGATACAGGTGTTTCTAATCACATGGTAAAGTATCTTAAAGTTCTAGAAGAATCTAAGACTGTTGATGAATCCAGTATTGGAAGAGTACACTGCCTAGAGGAAGAATAGCAAGTGTAGTCATATAGGATCGACAAGTGTGCTACAAGGCCAGAAACTTACCAATGTGTGACACATACTAGACTTCAAATATAACCTTGTATCTGTTTCAATATTAACAAAGGAGCTTAGGTGCTTAGCTTTGTTCTATCCTGACTTCTGCCTTTTCCAGGATCTCTTCAATGAGAGAGTAATGAGGATTGGTAAAGAGGATGAAGGTCTTTACATCTACATATCTGACAACAAAGATCAATCAAGTGGAGGAGAAAATAACAAGTCAAATATTGGAAGATCCTTCAATAAAGGATGATAGATCAAATGTATCTCTGTGGCATAGGAAGTTAGGTCATGTGCCAATTGATGTTCTGAGAAAGCTAAGCTATTTTCAACATTTAAAGTGTAATAGTGAGACTAAGCAATGTACTGTCTCTCCTATTTCTAAGCCAACAAGACTTACATTTCCTCTTAGTACTTCTATTTCTACTGCATGCTTTCATTTTCTTCATGCTGATGTTTGGGTTCCCTATATGATACCTACTCATGATGGGAAGAAGTACTTCCTCACATTAGTGGATGATCATTCCATGTTTACCTGGATTTTCTTGTTGCCCTCTAAAGTTGAAGTGATTATTGTCATTGTCTATTCTTGTACTGTGAAATATCTGAGAACAGATAATGGTTGTGAGTTTTTAACTCACAGATGACAGAATTGCTGCAGTCTCTAGGTATTGTTCATCAAAGTTCTTGTGTCTATACTCCACAGCAAATGGAGTAGTTGAGAGGAGGCATAGACACATGCTTAATTGATCCAAGGCACTGAGGTTTCAAGCAGGTGTTCCGCTAAGGTTCTGGGTGGGGGGGAGGGGGGGGGGAAGGGGGGAATGTGTATCAACTACAGTCTATATCATTAACAGACTGCCAACACAAGTGTTGCAAGGAAAGACTCCCCTTGAACTATTATTTGGTCATTCTCTTTCCTTGGTCCACATGAGGATTTTTGGTTGCCTAGGTTATGTGACTGATGTAAAAAGGGATGACAAATTTTCACCTAGAGCCTCACCAGCTATTTTCCTTGGCTACTCTATGACTCAAAAGGGATACAGGGGGTACAACATCCATACCAAGGAGTTCTTAGTAAGTAGAGATGTTCTGTTCAAAGAAAATGTATTCCCTTTTCAACATCCAGCTTCTCTACCTTCTTTGTTTCTTGCAATTGACATACCTCAAGTGTCATTGCCTAATGATACCTCTGTATCTCCTCTTACACCTTCTTCTTTATCCTCAGCTTTTCCTACATCATCTCCTATTTCTACTTAACCAACTCAGCACAGTCTAGACCAATCCACTCAAGCAGCTGTTGAGGTTGAGCCAGAATCATTAGTTGAATCTACTCATGATCATTCTACTTACCAGACCTCTACGACCAATAATCATTTGGTAGAAACTTCACCTCCTAGAAGATCTGGGAGAACTAGTAAACCTCCTATTTGGTTAAAAGATTATGCTACCAATCCTCAAGGCAAAGCTAACTGCTCCTATCCTCTTTCACCACAATGCTATAAGAATGTGTCTGACTCCTATGCCAAAGCTCTATCTTCTTATTCTGTTATTGTGGAGCCACAATCCTATACTGAAGCTATCAAGAATCCCAAATGGATTGCAGCTATGAAAGTTGAAATCTCAGCTTTAAAGGATAATTACACCTGGTCTATAGTGAAGTTTCATACTGGTAAGGTTCCCACTGGATGCAAATAGGGGTTCAAAGTAAAGTATACAGCTTCAGGTGAGGTTGAAAGATACAAAGCTAGGTTGGTGGATAAAGGTTACAGTAAAAAAGAAGGGCTTGATTACACAGAAACCTTATCACATGTAGCCAAAATGGTGACTGTAAGGTCAGTAAATGCAGTTGCAGCAGCCAAGCATTGGCCTCTTTTTCAAATGGATGATCACAATGCATTCTTGCATGGTGAGCTTCTAGAGGAGGTGTACATGGATGTGCCTCAAGGTTTTGCAAGCCAGGGAGGGTCTCACAAGGTTTGCAAACTTCACAGATCATTGTATGGCCTGAAGCAGGCACCCAGGCAATGAAAAAGGAAGTTGACTGATGCCCTGGTGCAGTTGGGCTTCACTCAAAGTCATTTTGACTACTCCCTATTTACAAAGAAGGTTCAATCTGAGCTTATTGTAGTGTTAGTATATGTAGATGGTCTGATAATCAGTGGGAGCACCCTAGATCTGATCACTCAGACTAGAAATGATCTGAAACTCAGGTTCAAAATAAAGGATCTAGGAGAACATAAGTTCTTTCTGGGAATAGAACTTGCAAGATCCAGAAGTGGAATTATTACGAGTCAAAGAAAATATGATGTGGAGCTGATATCTAAAATGGGACTTGCAGGTGCTAAACTTGCTGGAACACCTCTAGAGACAAACCTGAAGCTTACATCTGTTGAGTATGATACTGTTGTAGGATTACCTGAGTGTGAAGACAAGTTGTTTGATGATATAGGTGCATATGAAAGACTGGTAGGGAGGCTATTATACCTTACAATAGCCAGAGTTGATATAGCATTTGTAGTACAAGTACTATGTCAATTTATGCACAAGCCTAAGCAGTCTCACTGGGAAGCTGCCTTGAGGGTTGTGAAATATGTCAAAACTTCTCCAGGTCTTGGTTTACTGATGCCTTTAGAAGGATCAGATAAGCTGGAAGCATATTGTGACTCGGATTGGGAGGGTGCTTACGGACCAGGAAATCAATAACAGGCTACCTAGTTAAGTTTGGGAATGCCTTGATCTCGTGGAAATCTAAGAAACAAGACACAGTTGCAAGGATTTCTACTGAAGCTGAGTTTAGAAGTATGGCTTCTACAGTTGCCGAGATAACTTGGCTCACAGGACTTTTCAAAGAGTTAGGGGTTGGTGTGAATCTGCCAGTTGATTTTTTATTGTGACAGCAAAGTTGCAATCCAAATTGCAGCTAATCCAATATTTCACGGAAGGACCAAACACATAGACATTGATTATCATTTCGTACGAGAGAAAATCATACATAGTGTTGTGAAGACTCATCTTCTCACCAAGAGCTTAGGAAGACTGCAACATGATCACTTAATGTCCAAGCTGAGATTGAAGGAAATCTTCAAACCATCAGCTTGAGGGAGGGTGTTAAGTAGGTGGTTAAAGTTAGTTAGTTAGTTAGCTAGCTGTCCAATCATGTAGTGACAACTGTAAGTTAAGAAAGCTGTAGTCGGTTAGATGTGTATATAACAGAGTATGTACTCCTCTTGTTATTCATTCGAAAATCAATGGAACGGTAGAATTCCATTTTCCCTCTTCCTTCTTCCTTGAGCTTCTTTGCAACTATGGTGGTCTCAATCTCTTAACAAAAAGTTTGTACTTTTGTGGATGTAAAAAGGTTATGGTATAAAAACTTGTTTGTATTGAATATACACGCTAAATCATATCAACTTATCATGAACAAGTAATTTATAAAGTGAAAATATATAAACTATAATTGATTGAGTTAATTTTTTGCTCGAGTGCATGTCATGCTACTATAATTTAGTATAGACACTCGATATGAGTAAATTTTTACTATGAAGGTTTATGCCAACTTTAAATATGATTTTGTCATTGTGTGGTAAAAACAGAAGCAACGATGAATGTAGAAACTTCATTAAGTTCGTCCAAATATATTACTGTATACATATAAATATAATTATTTATTTAAAATAATTATTCAACTCTTTTTTGTTCAACTATATCTATATCCGAAAATGTGCTATTTTGCCTAATGCAGGATATGTAGCCTGGTACAATATCTGGAGCACAAGAACAACCAAAGAGTCAAACAAAATACAAAGATGAAAAATGAAAGAAGGAAAGCTTCACTGTCATTTCAAGCCTAATTCCCATTTTAATTGTCACAAATTCTAAAATGAGAATAAACTCAAAAAGTTAACTTGTAGGTAGTAATGTTTGTACTCAATTTAAGCATGTTTTCATGTAAATATAGTTATCTAGCTAGAGATCCATGTAGGGGAGCTTCGAAGCAACGGTAGAGTTGTCTTCGTGTAATCTATAGGTTACGTGTTCGAGCTGTTGAAGCAGTCACTAATACTATATTAGAGTAGATTATTTACATAACACACCTTAGAGTGTGGGCCTTCCCCGGATCCTGCGTGAATACGAAATTCTTTGTGCATATTTACATTGATTGTCTTTGTATGAAGAATATATGATAGATTGATGATCTTTTTTGGTTTATTCAAAAAGATTTCGGGTAAGGAATCATTTTTACGATTTTTACGTAACAATAGAATTTTTCTATATTATCTTAATTTTTCAGAGATCGAATTATAGATCTTTAGGTATCATATCTACCCCACCACAATGATGGATGGTCATTAAATGCATATTGATTCAACAGAGTGGTTGTCATATCAAAGAGCTTAGAAGAAAATATGTTAAGACCAAGGGTGTGTTTGGTACGAAGAAAAATATTTTCTATGGAAAAGTTTTCTTAAAAAATAATTTCATGAAAAATGAGTGGTTTTATGACTTATTTTCCCTTCTTTGGTTGGTGAGTGAAAAACTTTTTTCGGAAAATATTTTTTAGTGTTTGGTTAGAAAGCAGAAAATATTTTTTAGGAATATTTTTTAGTGTTTGGTTAGAGAGTAGAAAATATTTTTTAGAAAAATATTTGTTTATGCTACTGTCCTCACTCACCCCTTCCCCCTGTTGAAGATATGGATAAGAGTTAGAAATATATGTTCCTATCTAGTTAATTATTAATTGATATTGATAAAGATACAAGATCTTATCCAAGATCTTATTGTATTTGAGGTAGAGTAGAACTCAATGTATCCTACGAAGAGTATAACATCTAGGCAGTCATCTGTTTGTGAGTATAAATATAGGCTTAATGTACTCATTATAATATACTGAATACAAGCCTATTCTCTTCTCCAAAATAACAAGTTTCTACATGGTATCAGAGCTTTAGCTCTCCATTGCGCAACTCTACTCCAGATCTCAAAAAAATGACAAACTCCTCTTCATCAAGCCAAACACCAACCCCATCAACCACACTCTCAACTACCTCACTTCACCACCTCCTTGCCTCATGCCTAATCAAGTTGAAGCCATCAAACTATTTTATTTGGCGCACCCAAATGTTGCAATTGATTCAATCCATGAAACTGACTAGTTTTATCAAAGAAGGCAAAACAGAGTCAAGCACTGTTGTGACTGTGGGTGGAGGATCAACCACTGCTGAAAGTGTAGAAGTGATGAATGCTTGGGAGGAAAAGGATGTCTTGCTGTGAAGTTGGATCTCAGGTACAATGACAGAAGAAAGTATGTACCTGATTGTTGGATGTTCCTCAATAAAGGAAATGTGGGACATCATTGAGGAAACCTATCTTCAGGCAACAAAAGATAAGGAATTTCAACTCAAACAATAGTTGTAGAACATCAAACTTGGTTCCAGAACAACTGATGAATATCTGAAGGAGTTCAAGAACATCTGTAATTGTTTAGCATCCATACACAAGCTTGTGGACGAAGATAGCAAAGTGATTAACTTTTCCAGAGGATTATGTCCTAAATATAAGACTTTTAGGACTGTGATGTTAGGCAAATCTCCTTATCCCACTTTGAATCAATTTGTATATGCTATGAGAGGATTTGATATGAGAGAAGATGAAGAAGATAATCAACAGACAAACTACAACATGGCTTTTCAAGTGCAAAGAGCAAATGGAAATAGAGGCCGTGGAGGTTTCTCACAGAGAAGAGGAAATCAGAAATTTTCATCCAGGGGAAGAGGTTTTCGACTTGCTGGTCAAGGCAATTATCAAGGCACTCAGGCTACTCAGAATCAAAACCAATAGAAAATGAAGGAGACCGTAGCGTGTTAGATATGTAGAAGGAACAATCATACGACTCTTAAGTGATTCTATAGGTGTGATTTCTCCTATCAGGCAACAGAAGACCTTCCTCAAGACCTTGCCACAATGAACCTGCAAAATGAGAAAGATCAGGATGAGAACATGTATGTTGACTCAGGTGCAACCACTCACATGACAAACTCCACAGGTAGTCTGTCAAAATTCAAACCTTATAAAGGAAAGGACAGAATTGTAGTAGGAAATGGCTCGGAACTTGGTATAACACATGTTGGAAGTACAAAAATGTCTGGATTAAAAATAAATGAAATGCTTGTAGTACCTGAACTTAAGAAGAATCTTATCTCAGTTAGTAAGCTAACAAAGGACAATGCCTGCACAATTGAGTTTTCTGATTCTGATTTTGTTGTAAAGGACAAGAAAACAAGGATGCTGCTGGCCAAAGGATCTAAGAAGAATGAACTGTATGCATTAGAGGATAACAATTTGCAGGCTTTGACAGCAATACAAAGTTGGAAGGATTCAGATAGTATCTGGCCCACAAGACTTGGACATCCAAACCTTAGATCAATAAAAGTTTTAAATAACTATAAGTGCATTAATGTTAGTAGTTGGAATAAGAATCCTACTGTTCGTGTTAGCTGTCAACTAGGAAAAAAATGTAAATTGTCATTTGATTCAAGAAATAAGATTGAGAAAGAACCTTTGTTGCAAATTCATTGTGACTTATAGGGTCCTGCTCCTGTTGAATCATCCAAACATATGAAGTATTATGTTATTTTTGTTGATGATAATACCAGATATACCTGGATTTATCCCTTGAGAACCAAAGTATGAATTCT